TTGTTGTATTTTATTTAGAGATTTTAATGCTTTTAGTGCGGATCCATAGGGCACCGTCATCCGCGAATTTTGAAGTGTTTAGTTTAGGGGATAAGCCCTCGAATAGATCATTTATCATTATATTGAAGAGGGTTGGGCTGAGGATGCTGCCCTAGGGAGTGCCATTTTCTAGAGGACACTGGTCCGATAGCGTATGGTCTATACCCACGGTAATTTTGCGATGAAGTTTATTATTTGGCCTTTTAGTCCTATTTTTTTTAGTTTTTGTATTAGCCCGTGGTGCCATACCATATCGAAAGCTTTAGAGAAGTCGAGGAATATGCCTATGGTGTATTGCTTGTTTAGCTGTCCTGTTTTTATATCCTGTTCTAGTCGGGCAAGGTTATCGAGAGTTGATCGGCCAGGAGTGAAGCCGCTTTGGTCGGGGTTTATGATGTTGTTTTGGTCTAGGTAGTGCTGTAGCCTATTTTTAGTCATAAGTTCCATTATTTTGCAGAGATTTGAGGTTAGGGAGATGGGCCTATAGGAGTTTGCCCGATCTGCTGGTTTATTTGGTTTAGGTATTGGGATTACTAGAGCTTCCTTCCATGAGGATGGGACCTGTCAGTTTAGGTAGACTAGGTTGTATAGTTTAAGTAAAGTTTGGAGTAGGTTGGTAGGTAAGTGTTTGATTATTTGGTAAGAGGTGAGGTCTAGGCCAGGGGCTGTTCCATTTTTTCTATTGTTAAGTATGTGATTTAGTTCTTCTATGGTGTAAGGTTGATTTATTTCTAGGTTGTCTTGTCTGTTTTCTTTGGAGAATTTGGTTTCTTTATTTAGTTTATCTTGGAATTTCTTACTGAAGTTACTGTTGCTACTAACTTTAGAGAAGTGTTTGGCTAGGTTGTTGGCCTTTTGGGTGGGGTTAGTTGAGTTGTTTATATTGGGGCTTTTTTTGTGCCGTTTGATGCCTCGGATGGCGTGAATTTTGCGCCACACCTTCCTACCCGCACTTGACTCGACAAGACACTTATAGGTCTCAAGATTACGTATTCGGCTGGATGGCAGCTGCCATTTAATTACAAAACAGACAGTCGTCTAGACGGCTCACATGTAAGTGCGCCGACATGTGCCAAGATCATAAAATGGACAATCTTTGGTAACATCTAATTTATTGTTGTCTCACGCCAGAGCTGTCGATAATTCTGTTCATTGAACAATTGGAATTCAGGAAGTTATCAATAATTGTTTTACTTAACATAAGATAAGATAAGTTGTTTACAACATAATATTATGATGTCAGGACGTACTGTAGTCAAAACCATATATTTTAAAATCAATTTAATGACAGACTATGATTTCCAAGTCCCGATTATCAAATCAATGAGGTATCAGTTTCACCACATGTGCACAGACCGCCTATACTTATATATATATTTTTCATAACTATTCTCCAGTTAAAGTCCTATCCTCTTATCAAAACATCTGTGAGAGTGATCATCATTAACGAAACTCATTCTCATCAAAGAATACAGAACAAATGAAGAATCAGATGCATACATTTATTGCCATGCTTCATTCATCACGAAGTAGATTTACATACATTTGTGAATAGCACTTAAACTGTGATAATGAATTTTACCATTGTCCATATTAACATAATAATATATACAAAACAGGAAATGCATTTAATAAACAATTACCATAAAGGACAATCAAATCAAGCCAAAAACACGAAAAATACATATATATATATGGTTAGCGACCGTCATTATACAGCGAGGGGGAAAATTCGTCTGCTCTAACTGCCTTCACAAAAACATTCCAGGCCTTAATTACCGAGGCAGCTGTGACGTAGTAGCATTACATTCGCTGCGTTTGCAGCATATAAGATGTGTAATCTGTGGAGTAAGTAAAGTAATTTTACGGCTGAAATCTTACTTGCATGGTTATTTTAATATAAAACTTACGTTTTAAAAACACAATTGTTCTTATATAATGTTTTTAGGTTTGGTTTATAAATACTAGAGAAGATATTTTTTACATATAAAACTGATCGAAAATACAGCTGAACAATAGAAAATCAAAATAGGAGTTGTGAATAGTGACAAAATTAAATTACATCACTCTGTCAATAATTATTGATTGATTCCGTCAAACAACTGTCAAACCATTTATTGCCATGTACGTACATGTACACAGGAAGTCGGCGCTGTCTGAGGCGCCACGTAAATAAATATCGTGGTTTTATGACGGGAGATCAGACGAACCGTGAACCAGGGGCATGCGACGAAATTACACCTAAAGGTGGTAGAACCAGGGAAGAGAGCGAGAGAAGAGTCAACCCCGATGCACACCCTCTATAACGATGAACTCTCCAACTTGAACAACGACGAGACAGGAATGATGCCATCCTTCCCCACCATGAGCAGCGCATTATACCGACACAGACCGAAGACGATTCCTGTTTTGCCACAGACAAGATCGGAGGTGGATCTTCAGGATTCCTGGACGCAGACAGCAGATGGACGACCCTTCCTCCTGTTTGCTGACGGTGATGATGACAAGATTCTGGCGTTTGGCAGTCTAGAGAGTCCCGAGGCCTTGCAGAGATTCTATACATGGATGGAACATTCACTGCCTGCCCTGGACTGTGGAATCAAGTGTACATCATCCATGCAAGACTCGGAGCCACGACCTACCCCCTCATCTTTGCCTTACTCCCCAACCGTCAGACAGACACCTACTCAAGACTCTGGGATAAAGAGTGCATGAACATTTGAGATGAAATTTATTATAATGTATTATGAATTTTGAAAAATGAACATTTTGTTATTATGTATTATGAATTTTGAATAATATCGTAATCGTAATTAAATATTTATCTCAATCTATTCGTGTTTCTTTGGTTGTTCCATTGTATGAAATAGGTAACAGACTAGGGATTAGCAGTGCCATGGACCGTGAACTTTGTTGTCTTAAGCTGTTGGGGAAATGGGATGTAGGGGTTTTGGGAGGTTACCGTCTCTTGGACTGGCTAATTGACCGTACATATAATTGGTAAATATATTCGTTTTGACACCCGTGTTCCATGCGCATCCCGGCTCATAAGCAGAATACAGACAAATGAGGCCCCGTGATCAGCGGAGCGTGAACAACATGGATGCCGCCTTTCGGCCGTACCGGACAGTCAAGCTGCGATCTCGGAACTGCTCGCCCGATTGAATCCAATTGCAAGCGGAGACAAGATTTACTTCCCTTACCCAAACATGATCGTTGCTCAGAAATGTTCAAATCTATCTTCAGTAAATCATGAAATTAATGCGAGCATGACATTTATGCGAAAAATGCGATCGACAGCCTCCGTGGTCCAGTGGTAGAAGGTCCGCCCGGAGAGAGGAAGGTCGGTGGTTCGATCCCCGGCCTCGTCATACCAGAATACGTTAAAAGCTGGTACTTGTTGTTACCCTGCCTGACGCTCGGCATTAAAGGGCTAAAATAAAGACTGGTCCGCTCGGAGTACACTGTTTTTGAGTGGGGTATTCATGATGTGGCATGGTATCTCAGTCGACTGGCACTCTAAAATCTCCGGACTATACAAGCAGCCACACACACACATGCACGTGCGGCATGCAGGTCGCCATATAAGAGCAATAATCTTGAAGGCCACGTTAACCCTCACCTCACCTTTCGCCATGGTAGAATAGTTTTGTTTTATTTTGCTTGTTGAATTATCAACAAATAGTTAGAGCTACACTGTAAACACCAACCTGGAGATATACAAAACCACTACTGAAGCGCATATCTGATCAAGAGGACAAATCCGCTAATATTTCCTTCTTAAACAATGCCCGTTACAGGCATTCGAATCATTATATTACACCAGAGACCATACAATATAGTCTATTCTATTCTCTGATTATACGATGTGTAGTTTAAATGTCGGAGGGTGTTGAATAATATTTTTTGTTTGATTGTTGTTGAACGCCACACTGAGCAATATTCCGGCCATATAACGGTGGTCTGTAAATAATCGAGTCTGGACCACACAATGCAGTGATTGACACCATGAGCATCGATTGGGATATGTATCAAGTCAGTGAGTCTGACCACCCGATCCCGTTAGTCGCCGATTATGACAAGCATGGGTTGCTTGGAACGTATTCCAACCCGGATCTTCACAGGTATTTTCTTTAAATAATAAGGTATCAAATTTAGTATAAGTAAGTATAGTTGTTGTATATATTTAAATATGTTTGTCATGAACCCAACCTTGTTTAAATTATATGGGAAGATGAGCGGTAACAATTTATGTCATTATTTCAAATCAGAATGATAGCATTGTTTGTAATAATCTGAAGGAATAACAATGACAATAATATCCTAATTATTTCAAGATATAATACTAACCCTTAACTGAAAACGTCCACTACAGTGTACACTCGGTGAAGAAGCCTATGAACATATGAACTTTTCACATACACTAATGGAAGTTAAGTTTGTGAAGATAGCAAATGATATTATTCGGTCGAACGTCAGCCAGAACTCCTTTTTGGAATTCTGAGTCTACAGTCTGGGTGCTATGTACAAGGCTACTCTAATAAAGTTCCTGACGTATTTTAGGCCAGGGGTGGACACTCGCATTAATGTGGTGACTCATCATTGCATTAATTTTCTCGATTTACAGTATTCATGAAGAATATTTTGTATGGGACCAGACGCATGGTGGAATAGAGAAAATTATGAGGATAGACTTACTAGTAAGTATTTTATGATATTCATGCCAGCTCAAAATAAACTTTGATTTATTTTTATGGTATCCACAAGTTAAGAAGGATTAAACTAACATCTTAAGATGACATTAAACTGAATTATATTTGCTGTTTACATATCAAAGTTTCCGAAAATGTTTAACTTAAAATTTTTTTAGCCACAGCAAGGCTATTCATTCGTGACATGTTTCATCTGATCTGCTGATTTATTTTCAACACTGTCAAATCTCCTTCCTTGTTTCGAGAGAAGTACTGTGAATAATCACTCGACCTCCGGACATGGCACATTGAAACTTGGAGGTCAGGGATCACACCTCCCCTTTCTCCCAAGGAGGGGTGGGGATGTATTCGGGATCTGTTAGTCATCAACCTCGTGTGTGTCAAGAGTTATGTGCGGAAGATTCAATGTTTAACAACAGCGACGCAGATGGTACTGAATGCAACGGAAACAAATCATTGAAACGTTGCCAGAAAACGACCAAAGGGAAGTCTCACCCCTGCTCGTCCATTGTGATATAAATCCAGGGTGTCGAGGTGAGGCCTGTGTCTTGTATGTTTGTTGCATGTATTCTTGTAGCGGGATGTTTGTTGTAACACGTCCCATTTTAATTCTGGAAACCCAAAAGTCCAGAAACTCTACGCTCTTTGCCCAGTCTCGGTTAAAGGTATTTACAAAATTAAACATGCCGTTTTCATGGGAACATACCAAGGAAGAAAAAATGAAAAAAAAATTGTTTAAAAACTCAATATTTAGACTATGTCGCCCATGGGCCTGCCCATGGGCGAAGTCTGGCCCATGGGTAGGCCCATGGGCGAGAATATGTTCCTTTACTTAAAACTCATGTTTTTGTTTCGCAAATACATTTAATGTATTCATTGAAGTATCATGACACAAAATTTAATTCATTTTAACTTAATTCAACGATTTTATAACGATATTGAAATATTTCGCCCATGGGCGAGAAAAAGGTTTGGCCCATGGGCGAGAATATGTTCCTGTACTTAAAACTCATGATTTTGTTTCGCAAATACATTTAATGTATTTATTGAAGTATCATGACACAAATTTTAACTCATTTTAACTTAATTCAACGATTTTATAGCGATATTGAAATATTTCGCCCATGGGCGAGAAAAAGGTTTGGCCCATGGGTAGGCCCATGGGCAGGCCCATGGGCGAGAATATGTTCCTTTACTTAAACTCATGTTTTTGTTTCGCAAATACATTTAATGTATTCATTTAAGTATCATGACACAAAATTTCACTCTTTTTAACTTAATTCAACGATTTTATAGCGATATTGTAATATTTCGCCCATGGGCGAGAAAAAGGTCTGGCCCATGGGCGAGAATATGTTCCTGTACTTAAAACTCATGATTTTGTTTCGCAAATACATTTAATGTATTTATTGAAGTATCATGACACAAAATTTAACTCCTTTTAACTTAATTCAACGATTTTATAGCGATATTGAAATATTTCGCCCAAGGGCGAGAAAAAGGTTTGGCCCATGGGTAGGCCCATGGGCAGGCCCATGGGCGAGAATATGTTCCTTTACTTAAACTCATGTTTTTGTTTCGCAAATACATTTAATGTATTCATTTAAGTATCATGACACAAAATTTAACTCTTTTAACTTAATTCAACGATTTTTTAGCGATATTGAAATATTTCGCCCATGGGCGAGAAAAAGGTTTGGCCCATGGGTAGGCCCATGGGTAGGCCCATGGGCGAGAATATGTTCCTTTACTTAAAACTCATGTTTTTGTTTCGCGAATACATTAAATATATTTATTTAAGTATCATGACACAAAATTTCACTCATTTTAACTTAATTCAACGATTTTATAGCGATATTGAAATATTTCGCCCATGGGCGAGAAAAGGGTTTGGCCCATGGGCGAGAATATTTTGCTTTACTTAAAACTTATGTTTTTGTTTCGCAAATACATGCAGGTGTTCTTACTATTTTCATGGCACATAATGTAACTCAATTTTACTCAATTCAGCTATTTTACAGATTTATTGAAATATTTCGCCCATGGGCGAGAAAAGGTTTTGCCTTCGAAATCCTTGATTATTATATCATGCCAGAGTTCTGAAATTTAGTGACAATGTGGCTGAACAGTAGAATCTGATGGACGTTTTGTGCAGAACCTGTTTGACACTATGGGTTCCAGGACCACTAACACTCTGAGCTGAAAAAGTTTGGTCCTAACCGCACCCAACATCTTTAATGAACCCGGCCTTATCTCTCAAAACGTTTTGGCAGTTTATCATACGAATTCATGTGCGTGTACAACATTAAATTTTAGTTAGTTTCTATTTCATTTCCCATTTTATGACCCGTTGATACATCCCACTGTGCAATTCGTCTTTTATTGCATAACGTTTGGCTGAATATCTTCGATCTAACGAAATCTCGAAATAATTATTTAATTACAAGCAGTGTCGAACTGACCAGTAGGAATTATGTTTCAATGCGATTGAGGAAAACGTGAGTGAATATTGTGACACTAAAGCAACTTTTAACTGCATTGTCACTTTTGGTATGAAAATGGTAATAGTTAAGAAAAACGTAACAGCCTTCTTATGATAATTCTCATATTCTCATTAGTACGTTGTGTCTAATTACAGTGTCGGCCTTATTTACAGGTGATTCTACAATACTTGTTGTCGGTCAATTACAATCTGCCACACCACGCGTGAATAAACAGTTATGCAGGTGTTGCTGTGGGCAAATACCTAGCCTGTACATGTATATTTTTGTGGATACATGTATTACATATTTTCGTTGATGTGTGGATATATTAAGCACCAAGACACAAAAAGTTTATGAAAGATGAATTTGTGCCTTGATATATATATTCAACGCGAACGAAGCTTGTATTTTCTCCGCGATCCTGATGTGTATCATCGTTTAATTGGTCATTCATTAAAAGTATGTTGTGAGGCGATATCAAAGGAGCCGCTCAATATACACAGTGTCGTCCGTTTCGCGTGAACTACCACCCTACCCTGTCAGTAAGAGTTATGTAATCGGTACACAAATATATTTGGTGCGATGTCAGTGTGGAAGGAGTTTGAATTACGTCCGCCAGTGGCCACAGAAAGTATAGTACCAATCAACAAGGCCAATGCCGTACTAATAACCTAGTGACTCGCGTAACAACGGCTGTCAATATGTCTGCTACATCTACCATACCATCATCCCTGTCACAACTGGCGTATTAACGGCTTATTCAAAATATTAATTGTAGAAATGTCGTTACCAGTCTAACGTACGTCGTATTCAGTCCTCAACTGGATGTTACATTCCTTATATCAGTTAACAGCCCTGTTTGTGAAAATATTTACTAGACATAAGATTTAAAGACTAATAAAATCAATTGTAAGACCGCATAGACCATAAAACCGAATAAAATATGTCTTGGTATCATCTCTTGTGTATTAGATGATGGCAATGACCGGAAATTTTATAACTTTAGATTAAGAAGGAGAAACATTAAAGTGTTTTACAATACTTGAAAATGAGCAATAAGATGTAGCAACATAAACATGCATGGAATAGGGAAAAAGGATGAAAACAAATTGAAAAGGATTTTAATACAAAATTATCGAACTAAATAACTTGCCTGAACAGAAGGGGTACCCAAACTTGTTTGACAGTTATTCGTGTGTTGTAGACTGTCGAATGGGACTCATGTGTGTACGTAGGGTACGCATATCTATTGCAAGTTTTAGTACTCATACACTTTCTCTTTTTGTGTTTTGTTTGTTTGTTAGTTGTATAACGCCACACTTAGCAATATTTCAGCTGTATGACGGCGGTCTGTAAATAATCGAGTCTGAACCAGACAATCCAGTGATTGACATGTGCATCGATCCACCAATTGGGATACGATGACATGCATCAACCAAGTCAGCGAGCCTGACCACCCGATCCCGGTAGTCGCTTCTTACGACAAGCGCTGTCGCCCTTTTACGCCAAGAATGGTTTGTTGAAGATCTTCACGGGTCTATTGAATGCAGGGATTTGTAAAGTCATTCAGACAGCATACAATGCCAACTAAAAAATTATACTCAGTGTCTCCGCAAAGTAATATAGTACGGTACTTAGAGTACATGTGAGATTATACTCAGATTAGGGAGATGTTTTATCCATATAACGTGTTATTATTCTACCTAACAATGTATTTAATGAAATGAATGCAAAACAAACTCAACGGCTAAAAGGTTTCATTGAAAAAACTACCCCTAGTCTTGACTAATAAAACAACTGCAACCCGACACAGATTAAACGCAACTTACAAACACAATCATAATCTGGTTAGTCTGTATCACTCAACGAGGCCGCTTACTTTGCCCACAGTATGAAAGTATTGGGCAGTTCAGTAATTAGGAGCCAAAACCAGGCAGGTACGCTGGTCACACTTGACTGGTCTGACTGATGATTAGGTCGTCTGACAATTGTGAGTGAACCATAGCAAGAAGTATCTGCGAAACTATTTGCTCCTTTTATGGGACCGATTAATTTTATGACCATGGGCCTCGGCACAAGCGTGGTGTTGGAAGACAAGTTATACATGTACATCCGATATGGTGACTGTTTTTCGCTATTCATATTCTAAATACATTCATAATACCACAACATTTTAGTACTCCTTGAAACTTTACAATCACTTCAATATGTACAATAGATTGAACGAGAACACTTGATATATTGCAGATTATTAAATCATTGTCTCTATTATCAGCCGCTACGTTTGTATCGTTTGCATTGTACAAAGAAATATTTTATCTGTCCTTTTGCAGATTTAGCCTCAGAATGTGCTCATTCGAATTAGGAACGAAAATAATTGCTTATCATGAGTATATATGATACAGTTAAAAGTTACTTGTACACTGTAGACGTATTCACTTTAAAGTCTACAAGTTTGTAAGCTTGTAGACATCATTAAGAAGTAATTAACAGTCCCATGCTGAGACCTTTCTCAAAATTCAGACCGGTGGCAGGCTGCCAACAAAGAGAAGAAAATATCGAAACCCCGACACGTGTGTGCTCAGTCAAACAATGAACTTACGACCGGCAGAAAACAACTCCAGTTGAGTATGCCGATGCTGTATCTCAGCCGTGTTGGCCTGAAAATTTAAACATGCCAATTAAATCCAAAATCGTATAATTATTTTTAATAGAAACCGTATCTTAATTTGTTCTTGCACTGCATCATATCGTGTATTTCATCTGTATATGTGTAATGTGTATATGTATCAATGACTACACTTATACCGCATATTCTGCAACAGACTATAATTAATCACCTTATTATTGTCTCTCCATTTACCATGGCTGACTGCACTAATACCCTTTTAACAGTGGACACCGATATCAGTATATATATAGGCTTTTCGTTCAAAAAGGAATATGCAGGAAATTATATGTAACAATTAACTGTGTACTAATTACATGTTTGAATGTTATCAGTTTTACGTTCTGAGATACAGTGATGTAAGCATCTTCTAAAATCTTCTA